TGTTAGGGCACTAGGCGTCAGAACGAACCTAGCAGCACCGAACCACAGCAATGTGCTTCAGGAAACCTGAGATGCTCCAGATGCTAAGACCCCTCCACACCCATCCCCAGCCCCAAGGGTGACATTTAACTGTGGCACACCACCGATCATCAGACCCGGCCTGATAACAAGGGTGTTAAAACAGATGGGTGAAATTACATTTCAGAATCGAATACAAGGACCTACATATAACCTCCTCCCTGGGGGACGGACAACAGAAAAGTGGTTGAAGGGAGACGTCAGACAGTGTAAGATTTGACAGACTAATAATTTATAAATTATCAAGGGTTCATGAGGGAGTGGGGAGCAGGGAGGGAGGGGAAAAATGAGGAGCTGATGCCAGGGCCTTGGGTGGAGAGCAGATGTTTTGAGACTGATGTGGGCAACGAATGTACAAATGTGCTTTACACAATTGATGTATGTATGGATTGTAATAAGAGTTGGATGAGCCCCTAATAAAATGATTACAAAATATCTGGCTAAAAATATTTTCCGTGAACCTAATTAAATTTCTTGAACTAACTTCCATTTGTAGGAAATAGGCATAGAGCCTACAGTTAATTCATGCCTAAGGCAAGAGACTAGGAGCCCTGTTAGTTTGGTGGTCATGTGTGGGGCTGTTTCTCAGTGTGAAACTGTCCACTGCGTCACCACAGCTCTGGGGGAAAGGACATGTACTGTGCTTTGTCAGCTAAGCGCCATATGTGGACTTTTGGGGGATATTGACATCTCCAAAAATGTCCCTTTTTAAGGAAAAGGTAGAAATATGATTTATGACTCCAAGTTCTATGTTCTCTGGCTGGGGCCTGGTAATTTAATACATATTTTAGTAAATAATTTTATTGGGGACTCTTACAGCTCTTACAACAATCCATACATCAGTTGTATCAAGCGCATTTGTACATATGTTGCCATCATCCTTTTCAAAACATTTTCTTTCTACTTGAGCCCTTGGTATCAGCACCTCTTTTTTCCCTTCCTCCCCCACCTCATGCACCCTCGGTAAATTATAAATTATTATTATTTTCTTATTTTACACTGTCCATTGTCTCCCTTCACCAC